CTACTTCTACTTCTACTACTACTACCACCACTCTTTCTACTTTCAGATTCACTTTCACTTTCAATCGCAACGTCGTCCTGCGTACCTAAAGACCAAGCATGCAGCATGAAGCTCGGCTGCTCCACGTCCACAGCATGCACAATTGGCACAGTCAAAAGTAGCAGAACTGAACTAAACTGGCCAAACAGTTTTCAGAGCATTAAAGTTTTATAAAACCAGCATGCATCTTAAGTTTATTGAATGGTCTTGTTTGCGTTCCGCAGCCTTTCTTAACTCATCAATCACTCCAAAAACTGCATAGTTCACGGATCAACTAATCCAAATCGTTCAAAATGTTTTGCATTGAAGCAGAGTTTCTTGGCACGGAAGCCAGAAAGACTTCAAGTCGCTTGTCTTGGTGGGTTGGTTGACCACTTCCAGCAAACTATGTCTTTCTGAGTCAAACAAAGTCTTCGATCGCGTTGAGCATTCTCACACCGACACAGAATGTGGATACTTTTCTTCTACAAACTCTAAAAAAATTCTTTCAAGATGTTTCTTTCGCTATGCACAAGCTGAGATTTGGGCATTTTTGGGTCGCTCAGATTTCGAGTGACACAAAACACGCTGCAAGTAGTTGAAGCAACGACAAGAAGTGCGACAACAGTGTAAGAGCAAGCTGAGAGGAACCGGGCACGATGCTCCTGGAGTCAGCAAGCTCAGGGCCTTGTGTCGCAGCTAGACTCAAAAAGAAGATGCTTATGGCTCTCTGTGCTTTTATACCAGACTAGTAGTGTTGCTGGCTTGGCAAAACAATGGTAGGTGCAAAGCAATTGCCAAGCACTGTGCCAAGTAACTGCCAGACTGTCAAAGCTTTCCAAAGCCAGAACGCACAGGGTTGCGGGCGTGACCTCTCCGGTGGTTGTTATTTCCAAGAAAAACCTTTGCCCGCAGCGTGCGCGGCGCCGAAAAATTTGCTTTCTTTTGCAAGGAACGACACAAGCAGCCACCTGAAGGGGTGCCGTCTAACCAAAGTCGGCGCCTCTCAATGTGCTTGGCTGTGCAAGGCTGCTTGACTGGCTCTCAAACGGAAGCACTCTGCCACCTGAGAAGCACCGTCTAACTAAAGTCGGCGCCTCTCGTGCCACTTGCCTTCCAGCTTT